CCACCTCTAGGCTGTTCCAGCCACACAGGTATCTTTTGTGGGGTGGTATCGTTCCTTACCATGGCAATGTACAGTACCTGGCACAATCAAGAGCACGGACTGAAGTGCTACAACAAAATATGCATTGTCACCAAAATTTGCCAGATCCTGATTTGAAAAAGTTGCCAGACAAACATGGTATTTCTCATCAACTTCAACATGAAAATTATGCTATGAAGAGTTTAAGAACCTCTGTGTCATAGCACTATCACTAAAAAGTAAAGCTGTATAAAGCCCAGAGACAGAGCCCATATCTGTGAACAGAACTAAATCCCTCCCAGTGCCAGAACAAGACAGCCTCTTACAGCTGCAACCTTGTCATGGGATTTGCTGGGTGGCTAAAAAAGCTGCATGTGCCTATCATATTTTGAGTGGCCCTGGTGTAGTTTAAAGGCCAGGCAACTGATTTCAGATGGTTGACAGTGTCACCCCAGCTGCCTGTGCCAGAGCTGACGCTGACATGCACTGGCAGTGGCGGAGAACCCGCAGAGTTTCCCTTCATGGGGGTGTTATTTCACACGAGCGTGCTGGCACGTGTGTGTTGGTTCTGACCATCCTTCCCTCACAACAGTGCTCTGTGCCACCCGAAAAGAAGGGATTGGCATTATTGAGACCCACAGACAAGGCATTTCTTACCACAGTCTATAAAGGGCCATTCATCCCCACTGTACCTAAAATAGCCACTGGATGCAATCATGAGATGAATACATGACTGTGGATTCTTTTAAATCACTGCCTTCTTGTACAGACAAGAAAACTGTGTCCAGCAGTTGCATCCTCACCCGTTGTCCTTGTTCTCAATTCAGCAATCAAGTGTTGACCCTTTCTGTCCCATCCAGTATTAGCCTCTTCTTTTCTAAAAGTACTAAAAGAGATTTTATGAGAAACATAGAGAAACAGCAGAAAACTCCACCGGTCTATTCCTATGCACTTGCAAGACCTGTATAGAATCTTATTAAAGCAAATCCATAACAGCTTTCTATCACCAGAATTACAGCAGCACTTCTAAAGTCCAGCTATGATCCACTAGCTCCTCATTGCCAGCCAAACACAGACAGCTGCAGAAAGCTACTGAGACAGAGTGAAATGCCCAGGTACTGAAAAATGGTGCTTTCTAAAGAGAAACACTTAGAACTGCACAGGTCTGTTTCTTGCTGCTGGAGAACAGGCAGACTTGCAATGCCCTTCTGACCTACTCTTAAATTATTGCTTTGAAACACATGCTGGAGTGAAAACTGGCAATCTCCAAGTGTCTAGTAAGGGTGAGAGGAGGCCCAAGCCATCATATAGCAAAATTCTGTGGGACAAAAGGTGGCTTTGAAGGAACCTGGTGATAGCTGGAACAACACAATGGAATGGATACTGGGATGCTGTTGCATATCTACAAGGCAGTAAAAGATGCTGCTATACAAAGTTCTCCAAACAGAGAAATAAAACTCAGGAGCATGGCTGTATCACTCATGCCAATTGACATGTCACATTCTTCAAGCCAATCACATTTAGAAGTGGCTTTTCTGTCTCTTCCCCAAGCAGATAGTCTTTGCTTTAAATTAGTTTAAACAGGAGCCAGTGAGATAAGCCAAGTGTGCTAAAACAAGGCTGATGCAACTCTGGTGCATATGAGCACTACTGTAAAACCTGAAACATTCATGAAGACAAAATCTGGAAGAAACACTAGTTTTTATCAGGTTATCTGTTGAAATTGAAAGCGAGAAGAAAATATTTATTTATTTATTAAGCTGAAGTATCAACAGTCCTTGTGGAAAATCTGCTGCTGGAGAAAGAGGCAAGCATCAAACCTGTTGAATTTTACATCGACAGTGCCCTTTGCTGCAGAGAGAAAAACCCACAGAACTGTGCCCTACTCTCCTCCATGTTTTCCAGGACCCATACCAGCTGACCTTCTTCTTGGTTTCCTTCTCTAAGTAGCTACAATTACGATAATACTCAGGGACATTTGCTCTCCCAAACAGCAGATGAAAAATAACCACAGACAAATAATTTGAACATCTGCCGAATTACACTAATGGAGAGACAGCGATGTATTTTTCTATTAATCATTTTAAATGGCAAATGCAAGTTTGTTTTGCCTTTCTCAATTGAAAAAAAGAAAACTACCTCCTATTCCCAAAGCAGCAGATATTAGAAAGTCAAGACAAAAATCTCCTCTGTTTTCTGCTCACTTGAAACAGTTGGCTTGTTCCATTCTAGATAGTCCCATCTTTAGCACGGGCTCCCACACATAGGCTGTACAGCACATCAAGATGTTCACAAGGTATATAAAGACTAAAGATGTCTTCTGCTATTTCTGAAGTGACAGGAACCAACAAGTGACCAAAACACTGCTGCTTTCCTCTTAGAGGTCCCAATCATTCCCTTCAGTCTGTGGGTGCTACAGGAAGCAGTGCCGTGCCTAGGAACAGGCATGGTCCCCTCTGCGTCACAAGTGACCTTGTGCCAGGCATGGTCCTCCTCCATTGGCTGTGCTCTCTCTGAAAGGGCATAAAGCCTTGAGCTCAGAGGAAGTTACACTCCTTGTTTTTCAGGGACACATGCTACTCAATGAATGGCATTACCTGGCAACATTACAATAAACTCACAAAGAAATAATCTGGTACAAGATCACATCCCCTACATTTCCTGCAGAGTTAACAGAAGTTTCACATCTCAGCAAGGACAGCTGGTCTCTCACTGCCTCATTACAGATGACAGAAGTCATCCAACTTAAGAAATTAAATCGACAAGAGGCTAAAAAGTATTCAGATCCCAATCTTAGGAGATGTGAAATACCTCAGCTGAAAAGGCTCCCTCTTCTTTGCTGTCCTGCTTCTGCAGCAAAGCCACACAGCTGTCTTAAAATGCTCAACCTAACAACTTCAAGCAGGAAACAACAATGTAACACACATATAATGTTCCTTTCAGTGCTCCTGGACTGGGTTTTCTGGGGTAGGTGTGGGGTTTTTTAAAGGAAAAATAAAATCTGTAGGAAGCAGATGACCACCATGGCAGGCATCTTCTCTCCCTCAAAAAAAAGACCCTGCTGGAAAAATTGTAATTTAGCTGGGGCAAAGACTCAGCATAAATGCAGTGCAAAGTTACTACCATCAATGTTGGAACACCTGGTCTTTCCCCAAAATTACCTCCTCAAACGTTGATTCTGTCCAGATTTTCCAGACTGGCAAAACCACTTCAGCCTCCAATCTTGTCCTATATGCAGTTGATGAATTAGAAGACTTCTCTAATTAGAGATCACCAGTGGAATTAGAAGGTAGATTATTTTTAGCAATTGTCTGATTGAGCTGGAGCTGTACTCAGTTGTAAATTAGTTAATTTTTCTAAGGCTACATTTTACACAAGAATTTCCAATACAACATTTAGTATCTCTTCAAAGCCATCATCTATCAGCAAAGACAAAGCAGCCATCATATACCCAAGAAGGTACTTTTTAACGTCTTCAAGTTTCTCACTCAAAGCCTAGAAGGAATGGCGAGGGGAGATGAAGAAACATGGAAAGGTACAGCCATCTTCACATACCAATGGTGAATGCACAAGCTTGAGTAACACATCCCTCTGCAAGCTGTCATGCAGGAGCAGCATCTTTTACAGAAGGGGTCATAGAAGGCCCAGAGACAGTGTAACATGCTGTTTTATTGCTCACCAAGTTAAAGCATGACTTCGCCTGATAGTGATTTTCTTCCTTCTTTGGCATGTTACAATAAAGGAAGAAAAAAAGACCCACAGAAGAAAGGCTTGGCTCAGAAACTTGCCAACTCTTCTTGACTCAGAGGGGTTGCTGGACACAGGGAATAAACAGCTCAGAAAAGCAGGCCTGTGCTGCAGTATGTCCGTGTTATTGGCCTTGGTGGGATGCACTGTGTACAGTCAAGTTGCTTTCCACTCCCATCCCCTGCTGACAAGAATTACTTTCAGACTTGAAACCCAACAGTTTCATCATCTTTTTAATTCCCAATTCCTGGCTCAGATGTCTCTCATATGCACTAGCTAGACTACATCAACCACAAAGACCTGCCCATGAGCCACACAGGATATACCTCAAAGGCAATCACTCAGAGACTGGATCATCAGCTCTGAATTTCTCTTCCTTTATTCATAGAAGTAGCAATACAAACTGTGTGACAAGGGATAAGTGTATGCTTTGTAGTGTCATGTGGAAAGGGAGATATCGCCAGAGCATCAGGATGCAACTGGAAAACACACCTTCCTTGAGCAGAGCATCTACCCTGAAGCAGAACCATCCCCGCATCCTCCTCCCCTGAACAAGGCATAGACAGTAAAGACAGGCCGTCTTTAGCCAAACCTATGCAGGTCTTACAGAGCAGAGAGCCTTAACAGAGCAGCTGATGAGGACTTGAAAAGGCAGCTGACAAACAGCCAACCAGCACGATGCCTGTGGGGTATAGCAGCTCTACCAAGCCTCTGCAAAGCACCTATAGTTCTGCATAGTGAGAGCATGCCGACTAAAAACTTCCCAGTGGGCAAAGATGGGTGAGACAGACTGAACATGTGTCCAAGCTGACAAGTAGAGCTCAAGTAGACAGAGAAAGCAAACAACCATAAAAAATATCTAACAGGACACAATGAAAGACCACAGCCAAGAATAAAATGCATGATGTATCTAATTCCCTCTCTACATAAGGAACTGATGCTGAGTTCTTTGCTCTCAGGCTGCTGGGCCACATGATGCTATGCTTGCCAGGGTATCACTAACAAAGGAAAGTGAGTGAGAAATCGTATCTTGAATCACACATGTTCAACAGCAACTGAGCTGGGATCCTTGCCTTGAGGTTGGGGAAGCCGATATCAACACAACCAGTAAATAAAAGCCTAGGTCTGGAGCAGGTATAAATGCTTCAGGGTCCCCAAAACACCAAACACTGACCATGGGAGATCCTGGGAGGAAAAACACCACCAAAAGACAGCAAAGCATATGTCAGACTTACCCTGCTGCATTTGGTACGCAGGTAATGTAGAGGAGGTGCTTCCACACTTCACTAGCAGCATCTCAAATGCAGCCTTACTGAGCAGGGGTAAAATGCCAAGAGCACTTAGACTTAGTACGAGGCACTGGGCTCCGGCAGGGCCATCTTCTGCTGCTTTGAAGCTAAAGTTCTAATACGTCATTGCACACTGCCTCACTAGAAACAAAGCCAGACATTTCATTTAAGAAAGTAATCAGATGGATTAGGAAAGGTCAAAGAATAATAAGTTTGAACTTCTTGCCATTTGGAAAATACAAAAGTGTTGTGGGCTCTCTGTGATTTGCCTGGAAAACATCACACTGCAGTTTTCCTACACTTCCAGGATGGCACGTAAAAAGGAACTCATCTCTAAAAGGTCTTAGGAACTGCAGAGCTCTGCAGCTCTGTGTACTAGAGCAGGACTCTTTTTCACACCCTGCCAAAGCATGGAGCAGCTCACACAGAACAGTATGGAGACCTTCCAAGCCTTACAATTTTGCAGTGATTAGTGAGAATTTCTGCAACATCAGAAATACTCAACTTGAGCGGTCTCAGTCAGAGTTACCCTCTCCTGTCAGGTCTGACCCTAAGATGAAGGGTACAAAATAGCTGAACATCACTGTCAAAATAATCACAGAAACAACATACATGCCTCACACAAAGGAATTGCTAAGAGGCAATATACAGTTTTGATGCCCCAAAACAAGAAGATATTTCAGGGCTTCAATAGGAAAATACTGCATAAGAACACCAATGTGTTTAGAAGGCTGAATGATCTTGTTTTTATTGGCTTCTGCTTTATTATGCCAAGAGCAAAGTTAAAACTCCCTTCCATATTCTAATTAAACTTGCTACTGTTTTTCGCTAATTCCCAAGATCAAGCCAGCCTGACAAGAATCATGTAATTTTACAAGGGTATCTCCCTCCACCCCCTTACGTTATCAAACATTAATTTTGTGAAGACTGTGCTGCATCATGCCAGCTCTAATTTAGTACCAGTATTTTAAATTTCTCCTAAGTCTTCAGAAGGCCTTGCAGCAGAAGGCCATTCCATAGCAGAAGGATTAGCACAGCCTGAGATCCTGCATTTGAATCCTGTGGTTCTATGTTTCATAGGGGCCACTCACCCATATGGCCCATCTTATGTTTAAAAAGCACCATCTCCATGGGCTTTGGCACAGGGTGAGGCTGCAGTTCTTTGTTGTGACATTGCAATTTATATTCCATTCTTTCTGCAACATCTAAAGTTCCAGCAATTATGTGACATTTAGCCAACAGGTTCAGAAGTTACTGGCAATGCGATTGCATAAACCCACTTCCCCATAGAGAACAGATTAAAAAGAAAAATCCAAGAATCTTACAAATACCATGATACAGATGTCAACTGAGTTGCAGGAAACTAAGGTATGCATAGGTGAAGTCCCTGAAACTGGAAAACAGGCCAGAAGCAGGAAAAAAGACTCAGATTTCCTGTCTCTCACAAAAAACCCCTTTAGCGGCAAGTGAACTTCCTCTTCTTTTTAAAGCTAAGCAGATTTTTTCTTCTCGTTGAAACAAGACAGCATTTAGTTCAGTATGCATTTATCATGTTTGGTGTAAAAAACCCCTTCCTCTAGAGACCATTTGCAATGTCAAAGAGCAGCAAATCTTCAGCCCACCTGCTTTGTGGATTATTTGCATGCACATACATAGGTACACATATAAATACATTTTATGGAAGCAGCTTCATAGTAAATCAATAGTCACAGATTGTGCTAGAGAAAAAATACTGACAACTGTCCTTCCTTGTCCTGGCACTTCCAGTTCAGATTTGGCAGGCAAGCTCAAGATGATTATCCTAAAAGCTCTAACAATAATCACAGTTAAAAGGACATTTTGGATGCAGAACTGCAAGGGGAACTCACATCATTTCCTAGAAAGGAATGAAAAATCAAAACCTACTGTCAGCTTCAGAAAGAGCCAGACTGCTCCCATGTATGCTTTCTTCTCTGTCATCACCTATGGGAAACTATTACCTCATGCTCTTCACATTCCTCCAGTATGCCAGACTTCACCAGGCTTATGTACGATGAACCAAAAAGCCACTGCCAGCTTCCACTTTCTATCTATTGCAGCAGAGTTCATCATGCTGTTAAATGCAAGTCCCTTAAGAGTGGTTTGCTGAAGGAGGCCACGTAAAACATGCAAAAAGGAGACAAACAGATAGGGCAAACAGAGTAATTTGCAATAATTTCTTGCTATAATGTGACCCATGTTATGAAACCATGGAAGAGCCCTGTATTGCATCACTTCCCGTTCTCTAATCCATCAATCTTCCCATAAATATTTATATGCACATAGAAAAAAAATACATACACAGAAATATGCCACATTTTTCCATTAGCCTTTCTCTTCTGACTGATGCATTTGTAGTTACAAGAGATTATAACAAGGATTGGCATAGTACTGAATCACCCTCAATAGCACACTGCGCTTTTACAACTAGAAATAGAGGGATCAGAGAGATTAATCCTCTGTCCTGGATGAGACAAGGAACCAGTGACAGGGAAAGCAAATATAAATAGGCAGAGAAGGCTTTGTCTTGCTACAGCTCCCACTGGTTTTGAAGGAGTCTCTTCTACAAAGAAATGCTTTAGGATACCTTTACGGATGACATTAAACAAAGACATCCCTTCTGTAAATCCTGCAGTAATTTGGAGATGAGGGGTTCCCACAAATAATCCTGTGGCACCATCTTCCCTCTCCCAGGAAAGTAAAGGCCAGGTCCACGGCCAAGAGAAGTGCTTACAGTAGAAGATCTGACTGAATACTTCCTCAATGTTTAAAGAGTGCTATAGGGCAGGTTGTTCAGAGTCAATTTGTTGCTTCCTTCAATTAATGGTGCTCAAATGGTCCTCTAGAGGAAAAATTCACCCAAATCCCATGTCTAGAAGCCAGTTTCTAGTTTCAGTCCAAGAAGTCATGGTAATGTGTAGACCCCCACACATGTGGTGTTCCCATGGAAATTCTTGTGTAATGATAAAGCAGAACTTCAAACTCAGTTCTAGCAACAAGAACAGAACACAACTCCCTTCCTCAAGCTGCACAATGGCACAGAGTTCTTAGCAGTAAATCTGAGTGACAAATTATTCTGGTCATTAGAACCAGCAGATCAGACCCAGGGGAAGCCTATCTATTTATTCAGAAGCATTGGGGTTTTTTTTCCCCTACAGATACTCTTCCTTGCAGGCTCAGTACACACATTAAAGAGGAACCAAAGCTTTTTAAAAATAAAGCACATTTGAGAGGAAGAGATGCAAAAAGGATTAGTATACTTTTTTAAAAATTAGCAACTTTTCATGTAAACTTGAACCCTATTCTTTTTTTTCTTCTTTTTTTGGTTTGTTGCCTTAGAGTTTGTCACCTTCTATCTTTCCTTTCTTTCCCTGTTATCCAATTGATCTTTAGATTCAAAGAGAGAAGTTTCTCACCCTGTGTGGAGGACATGACAGAAGTCAAGCTACCAGCTCAAAAAGAACAGCTGACAGCATTTTTATTCCTTGTAATGAACCTCTTATCCTGGATGGTGCATAAACACTTGCTCTTACTGAAGCCATGACCAAACTGGGAGACAAACTCAGCCCTAGCTGTGGTAGCAGTGACCTGTTAGATGATGTTCTTAAGTCCAATGCCTGTTTTCCCAAGGAGAAACTCTGTTCTGAAGTTCATCTACAGCCTCACCTGCAAAATGGACTGGTGACGTATTCTGTCCTGATGCCCTTTGAAGGACACAGAAACTCTGAAGGGCAGATATACAGGCAAACCCAGCTGATACACAGGATTTACCTACCCCCAAAATATACAAAATTCCATATGAATTGTGGCTATGTATTTTGCAAGGTTTACAGCTGGGATCCTTAAATGAGTCTCCAGGGATAAAGTACTCATCTACTACCTTTATATCATGTAACTATGGAAAATCTCAGACACACTTTCTAGAACCTTTCACTATTTTCCACCCATTACACATAGGTAATATATGTGTATTTCATCTAAAATTTCCAACACTGTTTTCAGCTGAGTCCAATCAACAATTACATTCTGAGAGGTCAAATTCAAGATTTGCTACTAAGCCCCGAGCCCCCTTACCTGCAGGTACCAAATGTGAGCTTCAGGGTGGCACTCATTTTAAAAGACAGAGAAGTTTAACAGTCATTTGCAAACACCTTTGATCTAGGTCAGCCCAAACATGATAACCAGCAGGACATATAATAAAGGCCAGCCTTCCTTCTTGGTCCCAGGGGAAAAGAAACTGCTGATGGTTGAGATCTCTTGCATTGGTGAACTGTCTGGCTATCTGGTGATGAGTTACATTTAAGAGTAACAAAGCTCTTAAAGCATACTTTTAATTGCAAAAAGACCAGGCTTCCAGAGGCTCTTGTCCCTTTACCTGCCCCAGAATCAATAAACACTATGTAATCTATTATTTGGTTTTTTAATGTTTTACATAAATGTGGACACCTTGATAAAATCCCACAGAAACATTGTGGGAAGCAGTGAAAAATAATCTGATTTAGAAATTATGAGTTATTTTGGGAAGTTTTCAGTAAAATCTAAACAGAATTAGTAAAACTGACCCTATCTCAGTGAAGAGCATTTCAACAATCTGGAGCTGTGAAAATTCACAGCAAGCAAAGCCCACCCAGCAAGTGTAATGCCAGCTCTGCTATGCTACATCAAGCTGCCACCAGATCTTTGCAGTCAATCCACAAGTCAGCAAAATAAAAGTCCCAGCAAACCTTGCATGAGTTCTGTCTCACTATGGAAATTAATACAGTGAATTAGATGTGCAATTTACGTGGTTCACACAGTTCCTGCAGCAGCTAGCACTAGATGCTCCCAAGAAAGAACTGACATGAGCAGTAAATCCAGGAAGTCCCCCAGGAAGATTTCCACTCTAACACCTTATACCCTGGAAGTTTTTCCCAGACTTCAAGCTTTTCATTCCTTATAGCCTTCTACAGTTTTGCTACAGTCCAAGCACAAGGTTGTTCAGGGTTCCTGGAAATTCCTTCCTTCAGTGCCTGTTAATTTTTTATGGT